TGAATGGGAAGATAAGTTGCCCAGACTGTTCCCTTCTGCTCCGTGAACATATGTTCCCCCTGACAAAGGTCATTTCAGGCTGAGAAGAGAAAATTTATGGGAGCCATTTTTAAGGTGGTGTTAGAACAGTTCAAACTGCATATAGAAGCACAAAAAATAATTAGGTCAGGCTGATTTCTGTGTGAAGAATCTCCTTAAGATACATAAAGCAGAAAAAAAAAAACAACAACTTGCAGTGCTCTTTGTCTGTTCCAACATCCGCTTGTGGCTGCTCTACAAATCCATGAATTAAAAAAGATTAAGAAAAACACAAGCCCAGATCATAGTGATATGCAGAATATACATGATGGCTCTCAGCCAATATCAGTAATTAGTTTGTAGTGACTGTGTTTTTAGAGAAGAGCTTGATTGATTGTGGTTTCACAGCATACACAAGTCACATTCTGTATTCATTTTGAGATCTGCAGTGCTTATCATTTGCATTAATGTAGTTCAGATTACTACCAAAACTATAGTATTTAGATGAGATCAGAAAACTGCTTAATGAGATAAATTTTGGTTATTTGATAACAAGCCTTCTTCCAAAGTAAGAAGAGTGAGCAAGCAAAATAAGCAGAAATCAAGATAAATATTTAGTTCAGATCATGCAACCAGCAGTCTGAATTGAGCAGATCATTTATAAAATTGAGTTTAGATCCAAACGCGGGGAAGCAGGATCTGCGTTGCAGTTCTTCCCCAAAGTCTTCTGTCTGCTTTTGAGCTGGAAGTCTCCTCACCCAGCAGGTTTGAACAATTTATGGAGAGTCACGCTGAAAGTTTTGCTCCACGTCCCCTCTGACTGTATCTTTGCCAGCTGCCCAAGTTACCAGCTGTTACTGCACTGTGCAGTCAGCTGAAATGTGATTAACAGATCTGTCTGATGAGGGAGCACTGGCAAGCGGTCGGATGGGTGTCCACCGAAGAGCGGGGATGATGGCTTCATTGGCCAGCGCAGTGGGACAGGGGAGGGGATGCCTGTTGGTACCTTAGGATTGACCATGCCAGGCATCGCTGTGCCCAGCTTCTCACCATCATTCTGAGAGCACAACTCACAAATCTGAGCTCGGTGACTAAACTGCATATAAAATCGGAGAGGATGGTTAGGTACTACAGTCCAAGATTCACAGCAGAGAGCATGCCAGGCAGGAACACACCTCCACCAGTCCACAGGAGACGCCAGAGAGGAGTGCCCGTCTCCCCGACTTCGCCACCTACTTGTAGTCCCGAGCGTGCCCACGAGCGTGCCTCGGATTCACTCTGAACCTCCGTGCTGGAGCTAGGCCATCCCTGTGAGTGCAGGCAACCAGCACATTTCGTTCCTTTGAAATATGGCCAGTGCTAGTGCTAACCCTGTTTTGTGTCACAGCTGAGCAGTTAGAGCTTGGGGAAAAGATCTGAGTTCAGTGCCCTCCTTAGAATAACGGAGTTCAAACCCACACCTCCCATAAGAGTTCCTGAACCACTGCGACCTATATCCCCAGCTTCCTTCACTGACTCTAGACCTCATGGTAGTGGAGAGTATGAGACATGGGCAGAGGTAGAGCATGTGGGAGCAGCTTCTGTCACCCAAAGGTTAGAGCAGTCCACATGGAGGAGAGTTCTGTGTGCTGTTCCTTGTTCCCAGGATTATATCTGCTTTTACCCAGTTACTGTTTGGTGTGAAACATAATAGTAAGTCCAAGATAAGAGTCTCACGTATAGTAATAGTAAGTCAAATAAGTAATAAGTCAAAGGCCAGTGTCTGGAACCAAAACCCACTCTCAGCTATGGGCTTGACACTGTGGATCGAGTACATTTCCCACTAGGAGCCTTTGCCCTCGAAATGGGTCATTTTTAAGGGCGTTACCTGAAGAAAAGCCAGAAATGCTAAAGCAAGACTTCATCACTTCTTTGCAGCTTCTTTTTCTTATGTTTGTCAGTGCACGTGAGCAGTGTGGTTTTCTTTCCTAGATTGCTTGTGGTGTACAAAAACAATCTTGCAGGAACAACCCCATATTAAATAGAAAAGAAGCAGCATTAGCGTTTCCTGGAAATATACTGCTTATGCTGTTAAAGATTGGACCTAGAGATGTAGCTGTGAGTTAAAGGTTTCAAGGTAACCAAATCTCTTAAAAATACAGGTCCTTTCAGTAGTGGGCATTACAACTGAATTCTCTCTACTTTTCCAGCTACTTCTAATGGCTTTGCTGGAATTTTTTATGCAGTCAGGCCCTCTCTTCCCCTTGGGTATCTAAATAAAGTGATCTACAGAGACAGCGTGCCACTTACTCCTCTAGTTGCTGCACTGGAGTGGTGAACATACATGCATATTTTGGTCTCTTTGCCGTGTAACAGGATGCTTTTGAAGGCAAGGAAGCTCAGCAGATTTAAGTGCTTTACATTTTGAGGACAAGCTGTCTCTGTCAGCACTGTTTTATTTACAGCTCTGTTTCACTGGGTGACTATATGCAAAACCTAGCATCAAGAGTGATATATATATATATAAAGAGGTCAGAAGATAGGTAAGCTCTGTGGTTTATATACTTTGGTGAAGTTGCAAATAGGAAAGACTTAAACAAAAAGATAAAATTTTAATAAGCTCATACGCATCCTGAGTTTTGGGAATCCAGTTCTGCTGCTCAGCTGTCAATGTTCCTGTCACAGATATTACTTGAACTTTTTCCTTTTTTCCATATTTTGATCTTACTATTTAGATAGCAAATGGACAATAAAATGCATACAGGAAAGTTTGAGCTTTGTTCTCATAGAAGGAAAAAGATTAAATGCTAAAGTGCAAGCAAAATTTTAATATCAAGGCCAGAAGACCGTACAACAAGGTATCCAACCATCTGTAATGGCTAAAAATAGCAGACTCCATACTCCAGGTGTGCATGTGGGGCTATTGTGTGACTGCGTAAGAAGTGTATATACTGTCTCTATATACGTTTATACATACATGACGTGATATTTCTGTGCTTGCATACTGTCCTGGTAGGCCCAATATACCTAATCTGTTCTACCTGTAAAAGCTGTGAATGCAGTGTGTGATATGGTCACTGTACCGTGTCGTTATCCATGCACTATGGCTGAGGCAGTGCAGAGAGCAGAGTTAAAAGTGGGGCTTTTCTACACCCAAAATGGAGGTGCGATGGCTGCACTGCACAAGTGGGATAAACGGGCAGCAGTGCCAGCTGGAGGCGGGCTGGCCCTTGCACAGGCAGCTCTTTCTCCCTCTCCTCAATCCCACCCCGAAAGTTGTAATTGCATCACATGCAGGATGGGAAATTTGCCCTGGAGTAATTAGTAGGAGGTTTCGCAGTCGATCGCAGTGCTGCAGCAGGTCGGCATTAGCTCCCTGAGCTGTGGTCCCTGACCCACGCCGCAGATGCACGCACGCGTCTGCCGGACCGTCACCGCCCTCGCTGCCGCTGCCTGGTTGTGCCTGCCCGCGCTGCCTGCACCCCTCACCGCAGGTGTGCAGCGCGCAGTGGCGGGGCTGCAGGCTCCCCTCTCCTCCCCTCAAGGAGCTAGGTGACAGTCGCGGTGCTGCCAGGGCAGCAAGGAGGCTAAAAGGCAGCACAAAGCATGATGCTGTCTGCAGCGCGCTCTTAGCTTGGTGCCATTGCCCATCGAGCAGTAAAGTGCAAGGACGGCGCTAGACACTGCACGATTTCACTCCTGCTTCTCAGATACCTGTTCCAGGCAAGGAGCAATCCTGGAAAATGTTACAGTACTTTGTTGGCCATCCTTGTGTTGTTCTTCCCATTGCACACAGCAGTGCACAGCTCCACTCCCATGGCGTGGGCGTGCTGCTGCTCGGAGCCCGCTGCGAGACGGGGGGAGGCCGGAGCGACCGGCCTCTCAGCATCAGGTGCCGTACATGCGGCACGAGTGTTTCCATCAGAGCATATTCCAGAATCGGCTCACCCGCCGGCAGGCTGTTGGTGTTGTGGCGCTGAGTGGCTGCAGCATGGAAGAATGTGTATGAATGGATTTCAAATGAGATACTGCTGAAGCCGGTGGCTCAATATGTGGCATCTTTCTCAGGAAAGGGTGGGTAAGACAGTCCTGTTAGGCAAGGAAGTCTCAGATCAGGGCAAAACAAGTGTTATGGCCAGTTAGGACAAAATAATATGTTTTTGAGAAATGTCAACCTCTTTCATGGTTAACGCTGAATCGGCAGGCTGTTCTGGGGCTTACATGTGTGAGCTTTTGCAATCATATTGTCACAGCGACAAAAATAGTCAACAGGCGTCCTTAGGGAACTGTCAGCCTGGAGAATGGCGTTCGGAGAAATGAGAGGCCGTGTTCGGCTCCGGCCCGTATTGCTGCTAGGCAAGGAGTTTCACCTCTTTGTTAAGACATTTGTAAGATAGAAGTCACATTTACCCAGGAGAATATGTTGCAATTGATATCATATGGATAGATGCCATGTTATTTTGCTTAGAGATGTCTACCAAATGGGAGGAAATATTTTTTAAAGTCTCCTAGTAACATTGCTGTTGAGCTCTGCTATACGCAGAGCTGGCTTGAGCGTAACTAACACACTTGGAACAGATACTAGCAGTGACCCCTTTAATTTATAAAATGTTCTCGAAGATCCTATAAATAGCCACATGCCTAATTTTAAGCATAAGTAGTCTCCTGTGCCGAGTGTTAAGCTTGCATGTAGCTGTTACCAGAATTGGGGCCAGAAAGGTTAATTTGTGCTTTGCAGACACAGTTCCTGGTCTCAGATGCGGTTCTGTCTTTCAGGAAGCTCAGCCTTCGAGGTGGTTGCGTCTTCAGGCTCTGCTGGCTCTTACCGGCAGTGCCTGGCTCGGCAGCCCTTCCCAGCGCTGGGCTCCAAGCCAGGCAGGTCAGGGAGAGGCTATTATTAAGCCTTGCTTCCTCGAAATGCTTTCGATAGTGAGATCTGATTATGATGTAGTCTGCTTAACCAGAGATGAGCCTCGGCTAGGGCTCCTGCTCTCTGTGCCGCAGCCAGGACTTGGCTTTGGAAAGCTGTTGGCGTTTTGCAAGGGCAGGAATGTTTTGGGGGCCCGAACACCAGAGGTATGAAATCTGTGCGATGTGTTTACCTGTTCAGGTCTTGCTTGGAAAACTAGATTTGGGAGTAGTGTGATACCGAGACAGTATTTGGTATCTTAGTCTTGTGGATGGGAGTGTTTTGTTTATCAGGAAAACTCTGTTGCTGCTTTGGACATCATGTCCCACGGTCATTTTCCTTCCCCAAGGAGAGGGTCACTGACATCTGCGTCTGTAGACATGATATAAATACTCTGTGAAACAAAGCAGCTTTGCTGCTCTCCCACCCTCCCCTTGCAGATATGCGTGCAGTTCTGATCTGGTTACAGCTGTGGTGACTTGCGTCTGATTATCAGGGGTGTTGTACTGGGTATTGGTTAGATGTGATAAAGCTGGGTCCCTGGGATACCCTTTTGAAGAGCGAAGCTTTGCATTTGAGCACTTTAAAATTGGGCTGAGGAATATTCTGGGCTGGGCTGAACCAGAGGCACAGAGAAACGGGGGCTGGTCTCAGACCTGGTGAGGTTGGGAAAGTGTTGGGTTAAATCCGAACACGTCTGATCCTAAGACTGGTTGCTAAGAGTTGCCGGATGGTAAGGATGGTTGCTGGATGTCTGATCCTCTTTAAGGCTGTGAAGACAGGCTCTGACAAGGCCTTTTCCCAGTCCCAGGTGTTCAGGGGTGCAAGATGTGCCCGTCACTATCAGCTCTGTGAAGGATTTAAGAGAGGTTGTGCACTTGAAGGTTTATCTGCCGCAGCGGGGATGATGGTAGCTGCAGCTGCATCTCCCCCTCGTGGAAAAGATAGCAAAAATGGGATTTGTGGTAAGCCTGCAGCCACTGGCCGGTGGTGTCTGTGCGTGGGATGGCACCCAGAAATTCTCAGGTGAGAGGTGCTCCCCCCTGACCGGCTGCTTAAAGGATGTTGGAAAGTTATTTCCATCCCCTCAGATAAAGTCACCATCCATTATTGTGGCTCTGCAGCATGAGACCTGGATATGGCCTGGGACATTTGCCATTTGAGTCACAGACTGAAAAAACCCCTAACTTTAGGGTGGTTTTTTTTCCAGATGATAAGACTTTCTTAGTACATCTACCTACTACTGACCTTCGCAAAATGAGAGCAGTTTTCCTTGTATATGCCAGAACTTGGGAAATAAAAGCTGTGATCTGTAGAAAGTCAGTAATCAGATAGGTGGCTCAGCACCCGAGAAGCACCTGAGAGCCACACGTGATTATTGGATTATTTTAAGGCTATTAAAACTGCCTTACTATGCTTCTGTGCCACATGAAAACCTGCATACGTGTGTACATGTATATATGCGTATACCCTGCTAGCCTATACACATTTAAACATATATACATGTAAGTGTACATCATCTCAGAAACGAAAATAGAAGCAGCTTTCCTCCCAGCAAGTGGTATGTTCATATGGTTTAAGGCAAGAGAAATCTCCAGTTACAATTGTGTGCTCCTAACCACTGTGCTCCTGAAGGAGCCACCTGAGCAGCCTCATTCATCTATTGATGGCTGTGAGAAACCAAACAGGTTGTCACAACCAATGTTCCTAGCCGAGTCCTAAAATGGCTTCTGTAGCGTGAGGGTTTTGTGTCCAAATGGTTTTTTCTGCTCTTGTTGAAGTGCCAGTTCTGAAGAAATGTTGAAAATCTGGAACAAATCCAGCGCTTGTCCTCAGGGATGTTTGAAAATTCATGCAACTTCTAAAATTCACACGGGACAAACAAAGGAAGGATGCTTGTGATTCATTGTTATTTTGCAAACAGTCTTTGAGTTATAATTTCCATCTTGTTTTCACTCTTCTCTTTTCCTTTCCAGGGAGTGAAGCCGATTTTAGCTCTTCAAGCAGCACGGGCAGTATTTCAGCACCTGAAGTCCATATGTCTGCTGCTGGAAGCAAAAGATCTTCTTTTTCTCGCAAGTATGCAAAGCAATTTTTCCTGAATATTGCAAGTGTTGCTTGTGCAAAGATAGACTACTATGTAAGGTCTTGCAGCTAATACATAACAATACCAGTATTGTGAGTTTTAAAGCGTTTTGGGTAGCGCTTACACTGATGAGAACTGTGATTGAGAAAGAAAAAAAAATTGCTGTATTTGGAGCACAAAAATTGTCAATATGCCAGATCAGCTGACTGGTATTTTTTGGTTGTTTATTCATAACAAGTATGGGAGGTTGTTGTGGTTTAACCCCAGCCAGCAACTAAGCCCCACGCAGCCGCTCGCTCACTCCCCCCTGGTGGGCTGGGGGAGAGAATCAGAAGGGTAAAAGTGAGAAAACTCGTGGTTTGAGATAAAGGCAGTTTAATAGGTAAAGCAAAAGCCGCACACGCAAGCAAAGCAAACAAAGGATTTAATTCACAGGCAGGTGTTCAGCCGTCTCCAGGAAAGCAGGGCTCCATCACATGTAACGGTTACTTGGGAAAACAAATGCCATCACTCCAACCGTCCCCCCCTTCCTTCTTCTTCCCCACCTTTATATGCTGAGTGTGACATCATACGGTATGGAATATCCCTTTGGTCAGTTGGGTCAGCTGTCGCAGTTGTGTCCCCTCCCAACTTCTTGTGCACCCCCAGCCTACTCGCTGGTGGGGTGGGGTGAGGAGCAGGAAAGGCCTTGACTCTGTGTAAGCACTGCTCAGCAGTAACAAAAACATCCCTGTGTTATCAACACTGTTTCCAGCACAAATCGAAAACATAGCCCTATACCAGCTACTATGAAGAAAATTAACTCTATCCCAGCCAAAACCAGCACAGATACAGTCAGGTAAGGCAGAAAAGGCATTGGCTGGAGTGGAGGAGGAAACAACTGTGTGTATGTTAGTAAACAGCAGTACTTCTAACCAGTTAACCTTAACCTTTTGGTCTTAGCAGTTTGTTTTCTCTCTGTAATAAATTGCCAGCTCGGCATGTACCTTTCCAGACCATGGCCTTATTTTTTGTGGGAAGAGGTAGACAATATTGCCAAAATTTTCTTAAACACCCTTGCCCAACCTTTATATAACTAAAATTACATGCAAATAATAAAAAAAAAACTATCATAGTCATCTAAATGAACCTTTCATGAAAGATTTCTGTAAATTTTCTCCCTATCATGTGCGAAGTGCAAATCCAGACAGCTTGCGAATACAGGGGCATTTGGATGGAGCAGCACAACTTATGCTCTGCCCACGCAATCTCTGCTGGTTACAGTTTTTGGAGTAGGAGGAAGAGTTCAAATTGCCAGGACTGGTTTCCTGCCCTTTGTGGAAGAGCTGGCAGGCAGGCTGGGACCGGCAGCGGGATACCCGTATGCTTAAGTCACACAGACGTCTCCAAGGTCACAGCGTGCCGCAGTGTGCAGAGATCGGCAGAATGCTGCTTAATGAGCAGTTTCCTATCTGTATCATGAGACTGTTAGAAAAATAAACATTACTTAAGCACTCTCTAGATTAAATCTAACAAGTAAAGGTACTGGCTGTGGGGAAAAAACAGTACTAGGTGTAATACGAAGCCCTAAAATCACCTTAGTTTCACTAAGATTATGTATCATTTCATATCTTATTGTGTATTTAAATATAACTTTAAATTAGAGCATACTGACCTACTTAATTGGACAGAAGTCCTCTATAATAGTGCTCCTTCAAATGCACTGCTGTGTCATGCACAGTTCTGCCTCACACCAGAGTTGCTGCTGTACTCTACAAAGTGGAAGGAGGTGTCTCCTTTGCAATATCTTCTTTTTTAACTGTTTGACTGAAGTCACTATGAAACATTTCAATGTGGTCACAAGCCACAGTCCTGCACTTCATTGTAAAATAATTATAAAATCACCCAAACCACAGCAGTGTGATGAAGGTTTGCAGCAGCCACTCAACCATCTGTTCCTTATAAACTGTTCCATTTTCAGAGAAGGGAGGAAACCAAGTTAGACAATTTTAAGAAGAGATTTTGCTTCATAATTCTGTGGTATTTAAAGTTTTATGTTCAAGCCTTCTCTTTTGCTGGCTGGATTTGCCTTTTTCCGTTGAAACCTGCCCTTTCAATACAGTTTGGAAGAACAACTTCCATGGGAGGATGAAGGTAGCAGCGTGGTAGAGCAGGAAGGCAAAACCAACTGAGCAAGCGAGGAACGCACCTCGGGAAGCTGACCTCGGAGCTCCCCAGCCCTTTGGCAGCTGCTGGGCAGTGCAGATACCAATTGCTTTCAAGCACACACAGTTGACAGTCAGGTTATTTCATAAAGAGTGGGAAAAGAAAGGTAGATATGTATGAGGGAAACTGGAAGGATGAAAGAAAAGGCCGTGCTTTCCTTTGTCTATTTTAATACCATTTCAGCCTGCTCTCAGTGGGGTTCAGATTATATCTAAGCAAATGAATAGCTGACGACAGCTGAAGCACCCAGTATGCCAAAGGCAGAAAAGAACAGTGGATCAAACAAAATCTGTTTTCACTGCACACTGTGATCCCTCGGGCTGCTTGCTGAGGACCATGAAAGCAATCTTAGAGCAAACCTCCAGGGCTGGGCATCTCTCTGCAGGCCTGGCTGGGGAAAGCCGAAACGTGGTTCTTCTGGCATTAGCCCAGGCTGCAGTCCTCTCATTACTTAAGGGAGTCAGAGGTTCAGGGAACGTGGACGATCTGATGGAGTCACAGAGAAATGTGAAAATGGCCGAGGTTTCCCTAGATCACATAACTCAGACTGAGAGCCCCACAGTCAGTGAAAGAATGCAGTGGCTGATGACTTCAGGACTTTCTTTCTTCCCAGCTACTCAGTTATCTATCTGGTTTAGTGTTCAGACAACTTTGCGTGTGAAATAAGACACGTAATGGGTTGCATGATGAGGATAATCCAATATGCTTTAACCATTTTGGTTCCTCTCCAGCCGTGGCCCTTATGGTCGGAATAATGGATCCTTATCCTGCAAGTCTGGAGCCAGCCCACCTGCTTCCCGTGAAAAGGACCCTTTTTCAACTCTGTGCAAAAACCAGCTGAGTCCTGCTAACATCCATCAGAGTTACAAGGCTTCTTCAGCCAGCAGCAGCAACTCAGGCTCATACAAAGGAAGCGACAGCAGCCCAGTGATGAGGCAAGTCTTTATTTCAGCATCCCGGTGTTCAGCGCGCTGACTTACCTTCTCGGCACTGTAATGTGGGATCAGCTGTCTGAGTTGCCGAGCAGGTCACCTTGCTTCTCAGCATGGGTGTGACTCCTCATACTGGTGGCTCGACAGTCAACAGGGTGCTCCATCCCTTGTAAAAGCTTAATTGTTTCAGCCCTGTAAAATTCAATTTTTGGAGTTGGTTTTCAGTCCAAGGCAGGCTCCTTCACGTGGTTTCATGCCATCAGTTCTCATGGGGATTTACTGGTTCTTTCGTCTAAGGGTCCTTTCGCTTTGGAGAGAGTTGGGTGGGCTAATATAGAAAACATACACTCGGGCGAAAATTCACCCTGCCCAGCCTTAGGCACCTCCCGAAGGAGTGCAGCTTCCTGTACAGATACCTGCCAGAGCATGCGGGACGTATTGCAGAGAAGAAATTGCCACCAGGCTGCTGCTGTTTCCCTCCCTCTCCCGGGCAACTCAGCAGCCAAGCATGTCAGATACACACCTAAAGCTGGATAGGATGAATCTAGGTTTCAGCGTGCTCAGCCTCATAACTCACGTGCAGAGCGGAACTCCGTCCGTACGCTACCTCACCTGGCCGTGTCTGCAGCTGGGTGCCCTTGCCAGTGGCCCGGCTGCCTGCTCCTGGGCACACCACCCATTTCGGGTGGGGGGACGGCTAGGTATTTTAGAGTTAAATGTCTCATTTGATGTAACAGCACTGAAACTACAGTAAATAGTAAATTTTGCACTATAGCCACAAATCAGCCGTTTCCTCAAGTACTTTGATTTGCCAGAGGGAGTGTGCGGACACTGAGGAGTCCCAAATGAGTCATTGACAAGTATCAGTCAATGGGATGTTTTTCTTTTTGCCAGGACTGAAGAACTGTACGAGTGATGTTACGTGATGGTTTGGTTTTTTCTCTTTTCAGGCGATCAGGGAGATACAATTCTTGTGGTGACAATCACAGCATTAAGCCACAAAATCCAGAGCAGTATTTGACTCCTCTGCAGCAGAAGGAAGTTACAGTACGGCATTTGAAAACAAAGCTGAAGGAATCTGAGAGCAAACTTAAAGAAAGGTATATTTAACTTCAGAAATCAGAGTTAGAAAGATTTATTCAGGAGCATTTAGGGGTGGGAATCCTGAATGGTTTTACTCATTTCTTGACCACATAAATTGTTCATTAAGGAAGTTGAAATATGATCAGTCTGATTAGGTTGTTTTCAGGTATTTCAGGTTTCATAGCATGCTCAGTGAATACATACCATGCAGTTTAGTTATGAATATGGCTGTCTCTTTTCCCTTTTTTGAACTTTCCCAATAGAATATTTTTAAACGATAATTTTTTACTGGTCTGATTTAGCATTGAGACCTTTTATACATAAAACAGTTTCTACCTGCCAGCATGTATTACCTTAGTCTCCTGTTCTACCTCACTCAGTGAAATATGACTACAAATGTCCCTCTTCTCCCCTAATGAAAGAAAAGCTCTTACACAAACCAGTGTGCCTGCTTGTGTTTTTGTCACTTAGATATTGAATTTTTCACAATAGCCCTTTGTATGGACGCTGAACAAAGAAGTGACAATGTGCATTACACAGCAACAGATGTCATTTCTTTTACTAAAACCGCCCTGAGAGCTGGCTCTCCAGCACACACAACCCAAGCGGGCACAAAGGGCCGTTTGAATGGAGCCCCAAGGCAGAGTCCCAGGGGCCCCTTGGTCCAGCTCGGGGTAGCCCGACCTCTGCCTCTGCGAGGGCTGGGTCTCACGTAGGGGCCCCTCTCCCCGCTTGTTTGCAAGTCATGGCAGCAGCCTCCGGCTCCACGCTGGGCAAAGCAAGCCAGCGCCCGCAGCCCCGAGCCGTCCCGCTGTCTGAGGCCAGCATTGGCTCTGGCTGTGACGAGCTGCTGGGAGGCATGGGGGACACATCCAGGCAGCCGTTTCTCCTTTCCTCCATGACAAGGCAGTAGGTGAGATGTTAAGCGCTGTAGTGGTTGGACCTAACCTAGAGGCCACCACTTGCGCCTCAGAATGTCCAGGATCACGGCGTAGCCCACAAGGCTGCTGGCTGTGTGGCGAGGCCGGTGACTCCAGCTAGCAATCAGCCGGCATGTCTTGGCAGCCGGCTTACGTCTCTGCCAGCTCTCTCAGAGGCGGCAGCAAATGGTGCATGGAGGAATTTGCATCCGTCTTGGAGCATCTCTGCAGCATAGCCATCCCAGTGCGGTGGAGCCTCATATTGACTCTTTAACTGACCAGTCGGCAGAGGTGTTATAACATTTTTTATTTTGCTACAGGGAAACAGAAATAGAAGAGCTCAAAGCTCAGCTGGGACGGATGAGGGAAGACTGGATTGAAGAAGAGTGTAATCGTGTGGAGGCAGAGCTGGCCTTAAAGGAAGCAAGAAGCGAAATTAAACAACTCAAGCAGGTTATTGAAACCATGAAAAACAGCTTGGCTGAGAAAGACAAAAAAATTCAGAAATACTTCATAGACATAAACATTCAAAACAAGAAACTGGAATCTTTGCTGCAGAGCATGGAGATGGCTCAGAACAGCTCTGTGACGGATGAGCAGTGCCTGGAGTACACGTGTGACTCAGAGGGGAAGCCGTTAGTGTGTGCCACAATGCCAGACAGCCTCATCACAGAGGACCAAGCTCTGGAGGAAGTGGCAGATAGTGGGCTGCTCCTTAATGAGGACACAGCTAATGGGAGTGATTCATCTGAAGAGAGTTTGACCACCACAACCTCTGAGTTGAGTGATCCAGCTCCCTCCAGTTCTGCTGTGAATAAAGAGATGCTTGAAAATGTTCTGGATGAACAACTAACTTCTTCCCAGGAGGAGGAGAAAAGCAGCAATGTGATGGTGGAACAGGCCATCCAGACTGACGTGGTGCCATATAGCCTAGATGTGGAGCAGCTCATTCAAAACATCTTCAGAGCTCAAGATGCCTGTCCTCTAAGCCCACCTTCTTCACTGAAGGAATTGGGTGAATTTTCTCTTGGAAGCTTCAGTGATTCTGGTATCATAGTGGACTTAACTCCAAGTGATCCAAACTCTGCCATTCTTTTGTCTCCTATGGAGTCTCCATGCAGGAAGGTGGAGCATGTAGCTAATGAAAACCGTTTCATGAAAGAACTTGATTTTACGGAACCTCATGATGATGAAGCCTTTGGGTACATCCATACTGTCTCTCAGACAGATATAAAGAGGAGATACTGGAGCAGCAGTCTCCTCAGAGATGTTCTGGCTGTAGCAGCCCCTGTTGTACCAACTATCATGTGGGCTTTCAGTACTCACAGAGGAGGAACAGATCCCATTTACAATATCGGAGCATTGCTTCGTGGTTGCTGCCTGGTGGCCCTGCACTCTTTACGCCGTACACCCTTCAATATCAAAACCTAAAGTCCACTCTGTCCCTGGGCACCAACTGGCTGAGGCAGGCAGAAAGAGGGATGAGATAGGTTGTAAAAAGTTATTGTATATTCTGGCAGAGTCCATCATTTTGCTTTTGACTATGTGATTTGCACTATAAGTTGGTTCAAAAACATTTTCCTTGTTTCAAAATGAAAAAGCTGAACCCTGTAGTTCCACAAGATGTTTTTAACTGGTGTTTTTAACAGTACTGCTGTCTACAGAAATAGTCCCTCTACTCCCAGGCACCGTGTCGCTCCCCGGTGCTGGTGTCTTTCTGGTGCCAGCGCATCTGCACAGTGAACATGACCAGGGAAATCAAGGAGGATTACAGCTAGCGCTCTTTTGTGTGTGTTTGCTGAGTTAGCGTTAAGCTCAGTTTCCCTGGCTGGTTCATTGAGCAGATGTACAAGCGCTTTGCACTGGCTCAAGGGTAGCACAGGAGCAAATGGCCAGAGGAAGGTGGGGTATTTCTTTAGGCAGCACTAACCTAAAACATTTGTGAAACTACAATGTTAAGTAAGTGACATGGAGACTTGTCCCACATGTACTCCAGAAAGCATGCTAGCGCTTTCCATTTGTTGTCCGAAGTGTCAATTCAATGTAGAGGTAAAACCCATATTCCCCAGGCAGCTTCCAGCACATCGTTCGTGCCTGTCTTGTGTAGTGCTCTTCTCAATCGTACAATTGCTCGAGCATTTCACTGGTCTTGTGCGTATTCGGGGACTGTAACCAAAAATGTACGTTGTTGGGAGTCTTGAAACATGTTACAATGATAAGTATAGGCATGGATACACTTTGAATATTAATGTTGTTTTAAAGTCTTAATGTATTGGAACCTGATAGTCATTTGAGCCCTTTGAAATACTATGTATAAATGTATTGTGTTTTAACTTATTGTTTATTTAATTGCTTTATTGTAAATTACCTTTATAATCACAAGTTCAGTAAAGCATGTTAGAAATATTAAACATGTGCAAGTGTTTTATTGTAGCAAAGCTATAAAAAATACCCCATCTCCACTGAGCGGTCAGGCACAGGCAGAGCGGGAGAAGGCACTGTATCAGGGCATAAGGAACCACCAGGACCCAGAGAACAGAGAAAATCTAAGTACAGCCCAAGCGTAAGCACTCGGCCAGAGAAAAAGGCTCCAGTCAGTCTGCGGACGCGCACGCCACCCACTCTGCCGCACCCACGCTGCATTAACAGATGCAAGTGACCTAATCTTTAACCCGATGCAATCTTCTAGAAGCTTGTAACTTCTCATTTCTGAACTGCCAGGAGAGTAGCAGTCTTCCCGGCATTTAACAGAAGTCCAGAAGGCTGTCTTTAACCCAGCTGAGAGTCATGCAGTCTTGGTGTGCCCACTGTGACCATCAAACCATGAATTCTCCATGTCCAAAACTTGAGATCTGTGCATAGGACAGAAGAGGGCAACACTACCCAACAGATGAAACAGTGGGGTTTGTCTGGCCCCACCCAAGCTTTCAACACCGCCTCTGGCCATTTAAACCTCGCTGGCCTCCTGTTTTCCGCTCCAGCAAAGCAAGCGTAGTATTTCCCTGTGCAACCCAGAGCAGACGAGGCCCAGTGAAGCCAGACGATGCCATGCATTGCTCTGCAGCTTTTGGAAGAAGGGAGTTACTAGTAAGCCACAAGGGAGGAGGAATAATTGGCCAGCACGTGGGGAGCATTTGCAGCACTCACGGGGGCGATACACGCAGATGCTTACAGAGGCGACACAGAGACCTTTCACGTCCCTGTGATGCCTGGGTTCTGAACTGCTTGTGTTTGCAACAAAGATTCAGGAGGGTTCATTAAGCGTTATATTAAGGAAGAGAAATCTAACAGACAATTTGATGAAACATAGTCCCCAAGAGTTCACACAGATGGCCACGAGAGCATCTTACTTTCTCTGCTGGTACCTTCCTCTCCCACCTCTCCTGCCTTCTTGGGTTCCTGCAGGCCAGCTGGCTTGCCTGATGGCACTACTGCAACACGTGTTGCCCAAAGGTCACTTTCAAAAGCTTTTTCTTTTAATTACATGGACACAAGGGAGAAAATTAATAGGTTTTGGGGGGGGGGAGAGGGGTGTGGGGGGGGGGGGTGCTAATCTAAATTTTATACAACGGTGGAATTCCATCATTCCTAGATACCTCCTCTTGGGACTGGAACACATTACAGAAAATGCCTTACTCCTTCTTCAAAGTATGTCTGTTCAAGGCCAAGAGAGCAATATTTTATACCTGATGTTACCAACTTCATTACAATTTTGGATTTCTCTTTTACACTATTGTTTAAGTGACCTTCACTTTGAGTGGGGGTGAAATGGAACATAATTTAGAGGAAAAAGTGATCTTCAGTTCCAGGAGAGAGATTCACTTGCAACTACACGGGTTTCTTTGCAGCATGCAGGCAACAAAGCAGCACAAACCTACACTTATGTTTAGAATTTCAATAGGCTGAACTCATTTCAAACCATGTTTCGGGCAGGCTCCATTTAGCAGCAGTGTTTTTAAACATGCTGTTTAGGACAGAAGGCGCTAACACCAGAATAGCGTCAAAGTTGCTTCCTGCCCTTAAAAATCTTTCTGTCCGCTCAGCTCTCATAATGCATTTAACTACGCTTAGCAAGAGGTGACAGAGTTCCCATCACATTCCCGATAAAAGGACTTGCTCTGATCTGTACCCAAAATTCAGCTCGCTTCCAAGCCTCCACTTTCCCTCCTCCATACTGCAAGGATGTAGACAGCTCAAGGTGCCCTTTGTAAGATGAGGCCTGAAGTGCCATGGTAAATGCTCCAGTCCCAGAATTTGGCGGACTGGCCTTTGTTCCCTGATCCACAGAGGATATGCCGGCTGTTGCTACAAACATACCATCTTAATTTTTTTCCCTCTAATATTTGGCTTTAGTCTTAGCCATGTCTCACCTGGATCCTGCTGGTGCTGCACGGAGTAGCTAGGGGAGGACAATCAGCCTCCAAACAGTTCAATAAAAACTCCTATCCTTTTTTAGAAAATGCTTATACCCACACTCATACCGCACTGGAAAGTCTTGTCTCAAAGCGTGCAGGTAGGGAGGAAAAGCAGCTTGTAGGCTAAGGGTAAAATAGCAGGCGCCTGCTTGAATTCAGGCTTATAGCATAGCAACTAAGTCAGCTCCTTCCTGGGCTGAAGCAACGCCTATTGATAATCCCATTATGCATTTTCTTTTCTAACCCAGGAACAAAAAAGCCTTTCTTTAATACTCAGTTTAAGACGTACCCGACCTGCCCCTAAGCTGCTGAAAAGGTTGAGGCACAGGCACTGCCCACCTCCCCACCAGAGATTCACCTGCGCCATTACTTAGGTCCACCCTCTCACAAGGCTGTTCTTAATTCTGGTTACTTACTCATTTCTCCTTCCTTTCCCCCCAAATCAACTACCTCTCCTAAATCCCAACCTCTAGAAACATACTAAAATGAAAGCACTGTTTTATGTATGTCCTACATCAGAAGAACAAGTGAACATTTTGCTCCAAAACCCTTCAAACAAATGAACACAGGACATTGCAGACATGAGCAACTCTAGCGGAGTCAAGGAAAGGATGATTTTTCAGTCATCCTGGCAGGTCAATCCTCCATAGCCAAGAATAACAGTGAAGGCAAGCAAGTCTAGCTTTCAGTAAAGAAAAAAAAAAGGACATGGTGAATAGGCCAAGTATGGAGAGGGAAAAGGAGGAGCCCATGGCAGTAGGAGGGAAAGAAAACAAGCATACACAGTGGGTGTATGAGATCCCTCAAGGAACTCAAACCAAAAAGAAAAGATAATAATGGAAGAGCAGCTACACAAAAAGTTTAGCAAAAATGTTTTCACATTTGTTGAGGATAAAAATCAACATATAGGAAGGAGGAAAGAAGATACAGCACAGGAAGAAGATGAAACAGATACCAATGCATGGGTTTTTAACACGCAAGATACTACCTACAAGAGCACCATTTCCTTACTGGCATTAGGTCAGCACATGGCAGAGGAGATGGGGGTCATCTCTAGAGCAGCTGTGCTCAAGTACGAGCAGGTAGACAGAGGGAGGAACACCAAAGCAGTACGCCGCAGCAGAGGGAAGGGCAATGCAGGAGGGCTGACCTGCAGGAAGGTGGCAGCATCTAACGGTTTTTAAAATGGCTGAAGGCTCAAAGAACAAATGCACTTTCATGATGTATTCAGGGGCTTTGTTTCTAACTTTTTATTAACTAGCCCATGTTTTGTTATTTTTAATAAATAGTATTTATTTGCATCTATTTTACATTGCCTCAGAAATAGCAATAGTAAGCACTAAACTGATGTTTTTAAAAGATGAGATGTAGCTTCCAACATGTTTTATCTTAAATAGGCAATAGATATTAGGTTTCCATGCCCTGTGTCAGCAATAGTGAAAGAATTACGACTTGTACCTCCTTGCTTCATCAGTGTGCTTAAAAGGACAGACACGTGTTATTATTAAAGCTTATTCACAGACTTTCTCCTTATCTTCCACCCACCATCAGATACTTCAGAGGTGTGCGCTAGTAGATTTGCTCGCCATACTGCTGTTTAGTCTGCACAGACTGTAGTCATCCATTCTACTCCAACCAGAACATTTGTACAGAAAATATGCACAAAAGTGCATACTGTTGCCTTCTAAAACAATTACAATTTAACATTTCTCAAGAACTTCTTTCATATCTGAAAACTGCTGTCACATCAGTTGACTTGTGCAAGATTTTAAGCAATATGACAAGCATACTTAACATTTTTAAAAACTTTTCTTCGTGACTAAAGCCATTAAAGATAATTCTTACTGTCTTGCTTTCTCAATTACTTATCTTTTAAGCAAAACTTGTGTCAGAATCTACTTACAACTTGGTTAAAAATTCTATTTTTCTAGGCAGAGATGATCTAGTCAGATAGCCCCCCCCTCTTCCCATTCTTTTACAACTTCACTGTTCCCTGTATGCACAGGGGACAAGTCCCAGGCACAGAATTTGCTGTCTTCACTCATCTGTCACAAGGTAAGAAATCCATACAACCCGTGAATTCAGGGATAATAGCATCCACATAGCAGAAGATGGAGAATGCATTCACTGAAGCTCCGAGATGGACATAAGAACCACATGGACTCTGCCCCTCCCGTACACCTGTCCTTCCAGCAGACATTAAACTTTTCTTCTTCATTAAAGCACTGTTGTTTTCTACTGCATATTTACCTTGCACACTTCTCCCAGAGGAATTCCACTGTAAATTCATTCAGTAAGTGTACAAAAATGGAATTTGAGAAGTGCTGTTAACTGAACTGAGAATTTCCACACTAGCTTTATTAACAGGAAGACACAATTTTTTTTCAATTGTACTGCCTATGCAACAAGTATAAGGTGTGAGAATTTTTTTTTTCCTAACTGTAGGAAGTAAAAGAATTTCTGCTAGAAATACAAATTTACCAATACAAGTAAGTGATTAAATCACTCCCCTCCGTTCACAACGTCAGCCTTCATAAGAAAGCAGCAGCATGCACCACTGTTGTAGTGATGCCACTGCTGGTAGCCATTGCAGAGTTGTAAATGGGCATGGTAGCACAGGAAGCTGCAAGTGACAAACTGACAAGAAATCCACTTTAGTGTTCAGCTGTAACTTGTTATCTGCCATAGCATACTCTACCAGGAGTACATTTAGACTTGCAGGTCATCCATAACAAAGTCATTTTCTTCTGCACAGGTCAATATGATCTCCCATGGAAAACTGTGAAGTATTTATAAATACTTTTATAAAAAGGCAAAAGCAGACATTCTTTATCAGGCAGGAAGCAAAGGGTTCTTTAAAACTGTTTAATTACATGTTTCAGGTAAGCACAAACAATACAGTAGATTTCCCACCACTGAATATTTACATTCTTTTCTCTAGGCTTGAGCTGTTCATTAAAAATGTCTTTCAATCAACATCCTTGCTCAATCACTTTTGCTGCAAAGAAGGGTGCTGAAATAGAACTATTGCAGGAAACATGATTCCATCAAGGCATGATTTTCTGTGGGTTTTTCTCCTTGAAGAACCACCTACTAGTAGTTCAAGATATTTTGGGAGAATCCTGGCTTCCAAGATGACCTGAAGAATGCATTAAAACCAAGCAGTGTGTTGAAGTCCTAGAAATACTTAAATCAATACCAATATGTATGTTGTAGAGCTGAAATTCTCTTTTTCACTGGCACTGCCATTGATGCCTAGTTTCTGTTAGGACAGTTTTACACCAATTTTGTTTTGTTCCTTTTTCATTAGCCTTTGGGCCTCTTTCTCCATTTTCTTTCGTTGTTGTTCTGCCGCTCTTTTTTCCCTTTCTGCTATCTTCTGTTGTCTGTAATTAAAAAAACCATGAATTGCTAAATAACAGGAATCCAATTTTCAATATAGTCATACTTTAAGTTCCTGTCAATAAATAGGTTATTATAACTAATAAAAATAGAGCTTCAGTCTACTGTAGTTAGGCTCAGAACAGTTAGTCATTTATTGTGCTGAAGTCCTTTATTCAGACTAATCTAGTCTTAGGCAGCAATATTTGTTCAAATATTTTACAATCTAAAAGCCACTCAATTCTCTAAGATTCAGAGTAAGTGAATCAGTGAGAGTGTACAACAGTTACAAGGCCTAGAGCTATTTAGGGGAAAAAAAAAAAAAAACAAACCACTATCTAATGCTTTGAGTAGCAAGATTACCCGCCTTTTCAAGTTCAGACCAAAACAGTTCGACTTGTCTAGAACACTGACTTGTGTCCCCCCTTTCCATCAGCAGAGGCATCAGTAGTTATCCTCTCTGTAATGCAAACACTACAAACATTTTCCTCATGATCAGATGAGATGATAACTTCTAATATTGCCTTTCACGTGTTCAGGATCTGTGTTGTACTCTATTATTCAGTACAAATATAAACAATAGCCTTTAAGGAAATAAAAAAAATAACTAAAAAGCCTTCAGTTGTGTATCCTTTCAGCATTATTTCTTACCACTGCTATAAAACCCCAGACATCACTATCTGCTAGCTCAAAGAATCTGTCTACAGAAATAGGTTTCCAATTTCAACAAATACATAGCTGACTACAGCGAAGGAAAAAAACAACACAAAAATCCACTCATTTTATTCCCTGACTTCAGCTAGAACACATCACTGAGTGGCGCAGGGGCAACAAGGATCCACACTCCAAGTGGCACATTGCAGCTTTCTCCTGTATTGCATTAAGTAGTAATAGAATGGCGTAAGGACGTCACTTTCGCTTTGGATTCTGTTTATTAGATATGAAAAACTTGCTAAGCTGCTTGCAAGAGGACATTAAAAATAAAAATGAAGCTTCATTAACTTGAAAAGGTGAAATTTAACACAGATTCAGTAAGAATAAGGAATTGCTTATTAAAAGAGAATAAAGAATTCTAAATGACAAGGCAGTAATGAGTTAACTTTCAATCAGAATGTACACATAGAGGTATCTGACTAAGTTTACAAAAATATTTGCAGTACAACTCTATTCTCACATGTTAACCTGCTGCAGAGCAAGACTGACAGAATTAGAATCAGTTGAATTTATTATCTATCATTAATGCACCAAAACTGTGCTGGTGACTTCCCTCTTGTCTTACTCTACTGGTTGAAAAACGTACATTTTCCCAAATATTACAATAAATAGTTCACCAGAATCCTTTTTTTGAAAAAATACCTTTTTTTCCTTTAAAGATTTTTTAATATATCTTGTTCTTATTTCATAGTCCCTATTGTCCCACTGAAGCCATGTTATTTGTGATTTTCTGAGCAGAATGAGAGCAGTTTAGGAAGCTGGAGCCATCTGAGGCAGGTTAACTGATGATGTAGCAATCTATTAAAGTTTGATAAAACCTTGAAATGAAACAGGTTAACATAAGTCACTGCAATTCAAATCATTGCGTGTGATTAGCTTAAACTCAACCTGCATCTCTTTACCCTTCGTACTCCTTCGGTGTGTTCTTAAGAGGGAAAAAAAAGAACACAAACAGAACAGATGAAGTATTCACACTAACTTCGTGCAAGACACTGATTTTACATTCAAGCCTTACCGGCTAGTTTAGTTAAGCTAGCTAGAAAAGCATAGCTCCTACAGGGATACCAAGAACATACTTGTAACTTCACCTTCTGTCCTGAACTATTTTTACTTTACAGCATATAATTATGATCCTTTTTATAAGGACATTCAGTGGTATCTTACTTAATCAAGTTGAAACATGTTATTTGTACATAATAAATTGTTGGGGTTGGGGGGGCATTGTTGGTTTTTTGGAGGGGGGTTACTGTGTTGTTCCAATGTCCCAGTGATTCTCAGATTTCCTCCACTATCTCGTCTACCAAACTGATTAGATCCAAAATGTATTTTGCCAAGTACCAGTTACATAGACATTAGATGCATAAAAATAATTTGTCTTAAGAATTGTTTAACAAACCTTAGCACTTACAGAAAGGTGCTATATGTATTTGATTCTTTTACATGTAAGAGTTTACATGGTGTTACATTATTTTCAGTTACCTAAGAACTTCTTCTGCCTGCCAGGCAGCATCTTCCTCTTCTTCCCAGGCATTAGTATTTTCTTGCCAAGTATCCAAGTCTCCCAGTTCAGGCTGAAACAAAAGAAGAGAAGCTCTAAGCACATGGAAAAATTATATAAAACACTTATTTTAACCTTGATGCTTCAGGCTTCCAGAAATATTTGACCTATGACAGTACTTCTCAGCTTATTGTCTATGCGTTTTCCCCTGCTCTAATACTGACTTTTTCCAGTTAATTGTTGGAGGTTTTTTGGATTCTATCGGTGGGTAACAAAGGAAGGAAGAAAGTACTGGAATGCACTTTTAGGAAGGAGAAGATAAGTTGAGCAGATGAATTGAGTAGATAGTGTAAAAGATTTCTGGAAGTTGCATGGACAAACCAACATGTGCATCCACATGTTTGTGTGTCCAATATCACTTGAGTGCTGCTTTTACTAACTAGAGGTCCTTTCCTGAATTATTTTCATTATGGACAGTCTAAGGAAGTGGTATGAGCATTCTGTACTGCTTTCTGCCTAGACTCTTTTGAGCACTATGTTAATCAAAGCAGAAGCACTGTTAAAGAAGGCAAAGGGGAAGAGAGACAGAGCATCTCCTTCTAAACAGCCAGGCTGTTAGGTAACTAGAGTATTTTTTCAAAGGCAAAGAGCAAAAATTAGCAGACTGTTAGAATACAATCCCTACAGAAAGGAATGGAGAAGCAAAAAGGTAAAAATGGGTCAAAGATAACAAAGCAAAGGTAGCCCAGAGGCTTTCAAGGAAAAAAAAAAGCGCCTTCTACTCTTTTGCTAGGAACTTACTGTGTAGAATCCAAAAAAATGTATAGTCCGTTGCTTTAGAAGATTTGCAAGTATACAAGTGTTTGGAAGCTTCTTACCTTTTTATCACTGACCTGTTAAGTTTCTCAGTAGAATAAATTAGTTAAAATTAGATTAACTACTTCATTGCTTTGAACCAAATACTCAATTTTAAAACAATTTACATTATTCCACAACTATTCCTCTTGCTCCCCACAATGCAGACCTTAGGCAGACTATTCCTTCTCCTACAGATAACTGTCAAATTAAAGATCAATACTTAGCACATACTTACAGACTGGTGAATAAAAGGAATATCTTGTGTAGCTGCTAATCTGCTAGAGAATCCTGCGTTTCCCTCTGGAATCCCAAAATTTAAAGGCTCTCGTTTTTTAATAACTATCTGAAAATATTCAAAAAAAGGAACAAAAAGTGTTAAGTCAAAGCACTGCACAGATTCCTTGGTGATCATAGAACTCTGTGCCTGTGAAGGTACAGCTACATGACATTGCACTGTGTCTCAAACCTGCTCAAGTTCCAGAAGCTGTACAGCCAAATGATCTGATAAGTGAGAGAAGCTAAATGCAAAAGACACAAGAACTCCCTTCTTCCCCCACTAACTTTTTCTTAAGTCACATGGAAACCTATGGCTATATCAAGACAGAGAAAGGGCACAAAGAATTACAGATCAAATAGTCAAATCTCCCAGTATTCATATAAGCTACCAATTACATGACATACTCCTTGGACAAATCCTGCTTCCCTGATAGGTCACTGTAAGATACTGCTCTTCACGACAGTGCTGTCTGCACAGCTATACTGCTTTAGAACATAAACTCTCTTAGCTACTTCAATAGCCTAACTGTGCAGACAATTTAAGTTTCAATAGTTGAAATGTAATTCACTATCACATCAACTGGCAAAGCTCTGTACTGATTTGGCTAAAAAACATGCACTAATTCTTCTCCTAAAAGGCTTATGAGAAAATTTAACATGGTTGCTAAGATCATGTATCCCTTACTTGTCTTGACCTCAAGATATGAACTTACTCACTTATGTCATTTAGCCTACTTTAAGTCTCTGCTGCTTCCAAAAGAGGTAGATTCACAGTTCCACTGGCTGTACACATGCTAGTACCAATGCAAGAAAGGAAACAGGACTAGACCATCTTAGTTAGCAAGGACAGACTCCGTTATTTGACTGAAGTTCCATTTCCAGACATTGTAGATATGAGCGGTAACACGAGTAGATTCCACCTCAGATCTCGGGTTCATATTGAGCCCAGATTCAGTGGAAATACAAACACAAATTCATATTTAAGGATGGTTACAAGGCCAAGTTAGCAGGAACATTCTTTACGGTGCCTGCAGTCATCCTTAGAGATACGTTTAAACTAAACCCAGTATACAGTATTCAAACAGCATGGATTCTTCTTGAGTTTTTTTCTGTACCTGAAGCTCAATCTATTAGGCAAAAAATGTCATCAGATACAAAGGAGAAATCTACCTCTCCCCCAGTCCTCCTCTGCCCCCCAGATTTTGGGAGATCAAAATCCTTAGAAGAATACTGCAGATCCTGAACATACAGAAAACTGACCCCAGTATCATCTCCAGTTCATATGACCCCAGGAAGATTTAGGTTGGAAGGGGCCTCAGGAGGTGTAATCCAACCTCCTCCTCAAAGCAACGCCAGCTCTGCGGCTGATGAAGGTACTCAGGGCTTATCCACTTGGGTCTTAAAAACTTTCAGAGGTGGAGCCTGCACAACCTCTCTGGTAACCTGTTCCAGTGCTTGACTGCTTTCGCTGTGAAAAAGGTTTTCCAATTGACTCAAAGCTCTGTAAGCACCCAGTTGGAAGACTTCCACATAGAAACAAAACTTGCAATTACCAGAAGTTTAATTAGCATTTATTTACAGTGTTGATGCTCTTGTGGATATGCCCTTCTGTCTTGTCTCCATAATAAAAATGGATATTTGAAGAGCAAGCTATTTTGAAATATCAGCTCCTAATTCTAGTCTCCCCAGCATAACTTAGGGAAACAAGTAACCATCTTCTGAAACAGCACTGCTGTTACCTCAAACTTCAGTAGAGCAGGACGTGGAACGGAAAGGTATGAGCACAAGTATCTTAGCGCAGTGGTTCCATTTTCAGAATTAAAGTGACTTTATACTTCCCAGAGCCTTCAGACTATGAAATTCTTCAGTTTCCAACAACATTAAGACTAAAGATGTAAACATGAACTAGTATCACATTTGGTAAGATCTCAAAGAGTCAGTATTTTTAATTGGACATGTTAGAATAGACATCAGCACCTATTCTCATTTCAGTAGGACCGCTTAATTTTATCAGAAGCGCCTTCTATAAATTGCCAATTTATTTATAGCCTATTTTAAAGCAAGGAAAACCCTCCATAAGTATAGTTCAAAGTGCAATACCTACTTTTTGAGTTTTTCTTATAGTTGGTGTCATATCTTTGAAATAATCGGGTTCCATTTGTTCCAAAGGATTTTGCTGAGCAGCCACATTACCATTGCCACCTTCAATCTTCACACTGGTAGGTGCATCTTCATCCCATGAAGACCAGTCCTCTACTTCTGGCTGAATAGAAGTATACACAAGTTAATATTATCTGCAAGTAAAAACTTGTCTTCTTACATCTTCCTAAGATATATACTGAATATTATAAAGCATATATAATAATATTATATCTTTCTAAGATATACACCAATCCTGTTGTAGGGCTGGTATAATAGATAATCACTATAATAGATAGTGTCACCTACCACTTAAGCAATTACCTGTTTAGGAACAGATGAATAATCCACTGTGGTTGGCAAAGTTATTTGGTCTCCACTTAACTTTCGCCCTCTTCCAGACCTGAAAGAAAAATGTAGGATTCCTCCAAGCTCTGAAAACATGAGCACTAAGTTTAAAAAAAACAAAAAGGAAGTCTGAGAACAGCACTACTGAAAATAGTCATGGCTAAAACATTAAGTGCTTAAACTACCTTAACATTAACTACTGACAGTAAAAGTCTGCTAAACAAAGGAATTTCATCATAAATTTAAAGCAGTGTTCACAAGAATTTCAAAGTATAATTTACTTTTCAAACTGCAGCGGAAATAGAGGAGAAGCAACTCTATTGCTTGAAATATGAAAATGGACAAATAAACTCAGTTATTTGCATACAGTCAGCTACAATTTTTAGGTTGTCAGTGCTTATGAAGCAAACAATCTACATCTGTTCAAAGATAACCATTTCTATTGTAAGCTGAGAAATCTTTCTACTTGTCTTAGATGTTAAGCTGTGTCTAACATAACGCTTTCTGAGCTGATTTGAAAGCCCCTCTAAAGCACTTTTTCTTCAAAGCCTAAGCAGAGGTAGTACAAGATTATGCAAGTCAACAGCTTCTGTTCAATACATGCTTCTACCCACTTAAAAGAGCACTGTCTCACTGAAAGCGTTTCAGCAACTATATCAAATAATTTTAAGTGAAGACACACTAATGCATTGCAAATAAACCACCTAGATATTTACTTAATGACAACGTTCGAAGATCACAATAATAATTAAAATATTCTTAGCTGATATTTGCTCTATTTGAAAAACTTACAACACAAGAGAAGGAAATTCAGGCTTACACTCATGTTTTCCCCAAGGAGTTGCTATCTTAACCCTTAGGGAGATGAAGCGTCCACATAATATAGAAGCTATCGTCAACTCGGTGTTTTGACTTCTTTTAGAACTTGAACAGCAAGTAGTCTTAATTTAATTTGGAATTCCAATCACAGAACTAAGGTTGACATCTATATAGTTGTATGCAGCATTAAAATATATCTTTTTAAAGCTCCACTAGATCTGTAGTGAATCTACCAACCAGTTGAGAGATTCCTCTTATTCTTGGAATAAGTAAAGGCGAACAAGAAATAAACAGTTATTTTTTGTCTACCACATATTCTGCATATGCTTTAACCTCTCTGGCAAAGTAGTAGTCATCATACACAAAAGGAGAATACATTTCTCTAGATTGCTATTTGCTTATGCAAAACAACATTCTGCAAGAGTGGCAAGAAGCAAGAGTAGTTCAGACGACAGCACAGTGCTGAGAAGATCTACCTCAGGTACTCTGCTACTGTCCTGTTGAACTCCACTATTATATCACCATAACTCTTGAGAGTGTTTTGAATGCTTCTAGGTACTACACTGCTGCGTTCATGGGTCTACAACTCAAAAGAACTCTAAGTACGACTTACAAGAGTAAGCAAAAATAAGTCATGTTCATTAAAAAAAAAAAAGCAGTCCCCTTGAACTTTAATCACTGTCCTCTAAACTTCTGAAAGAATCTTCAATAGGCAGAACAATCTGAAGTCTCAGGCAACTGCTTCTTGACAAAGCAGGATGAGAATCACTTACGTTTATAATGAAAGCCTACTGACTGACGACTGGGTGGATGCTGTCATTAAGTGAACCTCTTAAAAAACCAAAATATCACTTGCCAAGTATTTCTAGAAATGTGGAGAACAAATTTTCTTCAAGGTTGGCACAGGATAGTTTTAAAAGGCAATTTTAAAACCCTGTCATAGCTGTTTAGAAAACACTCCTTATTAGAGCTATCTTACCACAAAATACACTCACAACTGCACTAAACAGACTTTTGAACTCTCAAGGAATATGCAGATCAAAGAATGAATTTGACTTAGTTTTTATCTGTCTTGATTGTTTTGCAATCAGTAAAATCAGAACTGGGAAAAGTGGTGGGTGGGTGTTGGGAGAAGGAAAGAAGTGCAAGAACCAGTAATTTTAAAAAGAAAAAAAAAAAAGGTAACCAAATTAAATAAGACATGTTTACCTGCATATTAACTTTTTAATGAAAGAAAGCACTGCTGCCAGGCAAGTACAGATTTTAAAGAGTCGAAACTGTGTTATGGCCATGGTGAGAAACCCTTCCTGCAAAAGAAAAAAGTTAGATGTAGAGTATTATACATCTTTACACAGTTATTAAAGCCAATTTCCTTAGTTGCTCATAAGCAAGGAGCATTCTGTGAAACTATATTAATGCAAGAAAAGAGAGGAGGTACCTGGAGCAAAGACGCTACCTGCCTACTATCAGGACATTTCACTGATGAAAGTTCCTAATGTATACGGCCTTTAAAGAAACAGCACATGATCATAGGTAAAGTCACAGTTCAAGATACTTTTAAAGGGGAAATGCGGGCAATCAATTGCAGTGACTGTACAGTTGATCTGTTTTAGACACTAACAATGGCACTGAACACCAGCAATGCAAGGAGAACAGAATAATCATCAGTAAGAAGCTCACACTTGCTTGAGCAAGTATTGCATATACAAATTATAGATTTAGTCATTAAGTCAAAACCCAAAATTGGCCGTTTAAATTTAGTTTCCATTTTGATGGAAACGTACGACGAGCACAAACATTGTTTATTTTAGAACCAGTGTCACTGAAAAATCATCAGCAAAGAAAGACTGTTCATCCTGTGTGCACTATAGCACCAGTTAACCCCTAGATCTAGCAATATTCCTATGCCGGACTAGATCATGCTAGCAAACCCAGCCAAAAAAAAATTGATCTTTGGCTGAAGCCACTTATGTTGGCAGCTATTTTTCAGTGTCAATTTGATAATCTAGAGAATTTATACTCAGTATACCACATTATTCAAACAGATCCCCTCAAATAGGCACAGACTGAGTCAAAATAATCTGCTGTAATTCAAAGATCCCTTTTGTCTCTTCTACAGGTGAACATTTCAGAGTAAAGAAGAAGAGGTTAGGCTTCACAGATAGTTTTTCATTATATACATCTACACTTGCAACAACATTTTTTGTTGTAAGTTTAACATACCTCCTGGTGAGAAGAGAAGGCAGCCCTGTGACATTTTCCTCAGGCCATGAGTATTCCATAGAAGGACAGCTTGATTTCAAATATGCTATGGCATTTAAATCACTTTTTATATTCCAGGCTTTAAGTTAGGAAGAGTCAGGAAGGTGGATCATTAGGTAGGCTGCTCCAATACTGCCCTGAGGATTTTATTAAAAAGTACATAATGGGATTTGTGAGCTTCATGGAGCTTAGATTTATTTTTTATTGGTGCTCATTTGCTAAATAAGGTAACTAGTATTACACACTATAGTAATATAGTACTGGTAATACTGCTTCACATAGAGTCCAGATAAGGAATTTCTGCTACTGAAAAATCATACAGGGTGGCTATTAAACAAACACGTCCTTTTACTGTAAAATGGAAGGCTTAAGTCAGTAAGTAACCGCCAAATTACAGACCACACTACCAAGCTGTAGCTCAGGAGAGAGGCCTCTTAGCACACAATTCACCTCCACTTCAACACTAGCATTGTCTTAATCTCATTTCATGGGAGACTTAAAAATGTAGAGAACCTTATACATGAGTAGGTATTAAATGAGCTTTTCATCTAAAGGGAATAGGGAACATTTGAACTTCCCACAAAGAAGCAAGAACAGCAGACACCGTCCAACACATTTAGCTTTTAGTTTTAAAGACAGGACTATCATTTCATATTGTGCTCAAGCACTTCCTTACTTTCTGGAATAAGCAATTTTGACAGTATCTAGGTGACAGGAGAATACATCAGTCAAGAATTTGAAGGATTCAGAAATAGTGGAAGTTAGTGAAAAAACAGTGGATAGCAACTAGATGGGACAGTCCTCTATTCTAAAGGTAGAAATTATTGCAAACTAATGCTGAATTGGTGAAAGAAATTGTTACTTTTAGATGAGGAAGAGGCAGCTAGAAGCTATCTACCTGGGATTTGAGGTATGAAGAGCAGGTGAACTGCTGAAATGAGAATAAAGGTACGCCTTTTCTGAAAGGAAGCTTGTTTAGAAGCTCACTCCACTCTTCTCTATCAGAATTCACTCTTCTATTGGCTTGGGGGGCAGGAGGGAAGGAGTAGAAGAGTACCCAACGTTAGAAAGAGTAAAGTAATTTTCCCCACTGTTTAGCCTACCTAAGTGCCACACTGGACAGCCAAGACAGATCCTAAATTAAAAAACAAACTATTGATTGAAAAGGTTGTTTTAGGAAGCAATCGTTACTAAAAAACTTCTGCAGACTTGGTATTATTTGTGCCTAAGTACAAAGGACTGGGAAGTTTATTAGCCAAGTGTAAACTAAAACCAAAACACATTCAAGTGTGTCACATATATATATTCACATATGTATGTGTACATATATATATGCATATAATATATAACCCCAGTTTTTCACCTAATCTCCCCTTTTTTTTTTTTTTTACATATCAAACTGTATACTGTATTCACTTCCCAATATAAAGTTAAACAACTAAAAAACCAGAATCCAGAAGAAGTCTGGCTTGCAAGCTTGTGAAGTCCACTGCTGACAAGAGTTAGCCACCAGAAGTTAATCCTTCTTTTTTTTCCCAGGTCATTCCTATACAAGAGTGACTACACTTCCAATATCACCAGTATGCCTGTTTGGCAGGGTTCAATAGCTATCGTCGTTCCCCATAACACTCAGATAACTTGTCCCTCTCCACTTTCTATGTGTCATTCAAAATTTCAGAGTTCTGATAAGAGACACACACAAAATCACATAACTGTTTGTGTTAGAGCTGCATTTCACTTCAACTGTGGCAACGCTGGGCCCTTCAAGACAGTAAGTACCGCCTCTTCTCTGAACTTTGATTGTAGTCTTCCCAATTAAGTTAAGCGCTGTACACTACAGATTGTCAGATGCACAACCAGAGTTTTGGCAACAATATGCTATCAGCTAGCCATAGTAATATTAGCAATCCTCCACCTTTAAAAAGTACTTTCATCAGTGTATCTAGTTTTTATACTGCTGCTCCTGGTTTCAGCTGGGATAGAGTTAATTTTCTTCCTAGTAGCTGGGATAGTGCTGTATTTTGGATTTAGTATGAGAATAATGTTGATAACACACTGTTTTAGTTGTTGCTAAACAGTGCTTACACTAGTCAAGGACTTTTTTTGTGCCCTGCCAGCGAGAAGCTGGGAGGGGGCACAGCCAGGACAGCTGACCCAATCTGGCCAAAGGGATGTTCCATACCACGTGATGTCATGCTCAGTATATAAACTGGGGTGAGTTGACTGGGGAGGGGACGACCGCTGCTCAGGAACTGGCTGACCATTGCTCAGTGGGTGGTGAGCAACTGCGCTATGCATCACTTGTTCTGTATATTCTTCTATCATTATTATTATTTTCCCTTCCTTTTCTGTCCTATTAAACTGTCTTATCCAATCCACCAGTTTTACCTTTTTTCCAATTCTCTCCCCCATCCCACTGGGGGGAGGGGGGTGGGTGGAGTGGGCAAGCAGCTGTGTGGTGTTTAGCTGCCTGCCAGGTTAAATCACAATACATATGAAGCAGTATATATGAATTAATTTCAGCAATATGCTAAACGCTGTTTAAGATAGAATCTTGAACCAATTATTGGCTCGAGATTAGGACATGTCAAGCATTCTCCCCAGTGTCTGAAACAGCACTTGAAGCATTTGCATTGTTGCTCTAAGGACAGCACTACCCAAAAAGAAAAGCTAAAGGTTTTGTTTGGTGCCTTTTGGGGTTTTTTTTGTGTTTAGGTTTTTTGGATTTTTTTTTGTTGTGTTGTTTTGTTTTGAAGGATTGGGGTTTTTTTTAAGTTAATTAATTAATTTTCTCAAAGGGAAATAATTTTATATTCTGAAGCAGTTGTATGAATACAAATCTACATGGAACCTTAATATTTCCTGAGTTCACTGCAAATGTAATTCACGTGATACCACTTCACTAAACTTGTTAAGTGAAACGAAGTGTTAATTCTTTTCTTGTTGTCCATCTTTCTCAAACACTGGAAAGGAGCACAGCCATATATCTTCCTTATCTCATCAATGGGAACAAATACTGAACAATGTAATGATAAATGGCAGGGCCACAACCTTCTCTCTTCCTTTTCTTCTTTTAAGCCTTTCCCTAATAATCAATCCCAAAAGGAACTACAATTATATCAGCAGCCGACTATGATACAGGACAGCACAGAGACATAATACAAAGTAGCAGTGCTCCAGTAAGAATCCTAGAACATTTCTTAATAGATGGAGGCAAAGGTGAAACACTGGACTAGAATTCAGATAGAGTTGTCTGTCAGCCTGATACACCCTTGTGTATCACCCCTCATGCCTCAGCTTCCCATTTGTAAAATGGGATAGCTTTCCTTCTCCCATTATTGAGATTGCTTCTAATGTATTACATTTACCAGACTTACTGTCAACTGAACTTTTAAGTTCCATTACAACAGATACAAATAAGTAAACAAATCAGGACATGAATCCTAATTAATTTAATTCCAGCAGTCAATGCAACAATTTTGTAATAGACACCAAATTTAGCTGGAGTTTGACTTGCGTAGCTCATACTGCCTTCTATTGGTAGAAAGTCACAGCAGTTGTTCACATGGAAGATGACCACAGAAAGGATTAAAGCACAGCAGCAGCAAGATGTTAAACACATTAGAGCCAAGTTAGAAGAATGAGACAACTTCACCCCGACAACATTTTATGGATCCATAAAGGAAATATAGTGAAGGGAGTGAAAGTTCAGACGTTTATTGAACTGAAACATTTTTACATTGCTTTCAGCTTGCAGCAGTGGCTGTGTTAGAACTCCCGGCATCTCTGACTTCACTGACACCAGCCAGCAAATCATCCGTGGCACGCATAGTCCAGCTGAGTTAGTCAACTATGGTGCAATAAGCAAGACTCTCACTGGCCATCACTATACAATGAGCACATTGTCATCTGGAGAAGCACTTCCTCTTTCATACCTAATTGCACACACAAACACCACTCAAACCATATTTCAAGAGACAGAGCCAATTCTAAAATAAAGTCACTCTGTGGCACTAAAATTGCTTTAGAGATTTGTTTTCTCC